TATATATTATGTCACATAAATAATTTATAGCATAATACCGTATAGCGGGAAATTTTGGAGGGAATTAAATTTGGCAAATCGGTATTTTGATAGCCATTTGCCAAAAATAAAAAATCCGCCATTTTGAGCCATTATGCACATGCTCAATGTCACGTGGTCACAAATTTGTCAATGTAATCATTTTTCCAACTTTTATTAAAAATTATAATTATTATTCTTACTTCATTCGTTATACCATACACCACAATGGCTGCTGCTGCATTTCTGTAATACATTGGTAATAGTGACCGATACTAATTAGAAGAGATAAAAAAGAATAAAAATAATAAATAAAATATATTTATTGTGTGACTCACTCTCTCCTGTCAAGCTGTATCCCATATTTGAAACTTGATTGTGCTGTTGTCAACTGTTAGACTTTTCGACATAAAAGAAGCTCTGGAATACAAATACATGTAACGTCTCATAAATACAAGTACCATATAGCAGGAAATTTTAGAGGGAGTAAAATTTAGATAATTGCTAAATTCTGGGTGATCGTCAAATTTTAATTTGGTGAATTTGTAGCCACGTGCCATTGAGCATGTGTATTATTGCTGAAAATGGCAGATTTTTATTATGGCGCATTGCTATCAAAACGCCAATTTGCCAAATTTAATTTCCTCCAAAATCTCCCACTATACAGTATTATTTTGATAAAATAATTTTAATGCTTTACAAATACATGTACATTTAACATCTGATAAAATACATTAAACACTCAAGAAATAACAAACTACATAAACAGATTATACTACAGGACATGATACTCCCCCACATATTAACACATTATCATATTTCATTGAGTAAACGACTAAAAGCTGACCTCAAATGACTGCCATATTTTAATAGACAACTCCCTTGGAAAAATACATTAAATTCACTAAATTAAAATTATTATTGGGCGAAGCCCACTAGTTCAAGTAGAGTATGTTTGTTTGTACACGTACGTCACCCCTATTTATCCGTATGAAAAATTTTCCTATTTTAATAACCTAATCTTAATCTTCTTTGAAAACGGGCGTGGTCACAGTGAAATAAAATGGCGCCAGGTCAAGGTCATGTTCTTGACCTTACAAGTTACAAGTCACTCACTTGAGTCAGCAAGAATGCAAGAGAAGTCTCTACTACTTTCCAAATACAGCAAGGAAGATTAAGAAGGCAGATATGCCACAGTTGTGAGCTTGTAAAGCCTCCACAACTACTGACATAACCTATGACTGCAGTTACTGTCTCTGGCTTCCAACACAACTTTTTTGCTGCAGAATGTGATAAACTGATAAAGAAAATTTGTATTTCCAAGCATGATGACTTCATTACAAAATACTGTATTTACTCATGTACATGTACAATAATGTAGCTCTATACCATATAACCTTTAAAATATAGCGTGGCTAGGGGGCTGAGCCCCTTAATGTTTTACATTCGTCTAGTTATTATTATTGTATTGTGGTATTATTATAATTCCTTTAGTGTGGTATGTGTGGTTTATTATGACACTTAGTATACATGCATACAATAAC